TGAATACAATGAATTATCCGCGGAACGCATTAGAGATACATCTCCAAAGAAGTCTGATCAACTTCACATATGGAAATGCACATCCTTTAATGACGTTAAATATTTGAAGAAATTAAAATTTAAAATTGATAAAGAAAGTAGTACTACAATTGAAATAATTAATAATGAAGTGCAAGTTACATGTAGCGATGACCCTTTGAAACTAGATTCAATGTTGGAGAAACTACATAGTACTATGCACAGTTCACATATAAAGGAGCTAGCCCTTTGTGAACAAGAATATATATTTGAAAATATTAATATGAATGCATTCAAGAATAAATATAATGAGCTCAAAGAAAATGAAAGTGCGCCAATAAGAATACTAATATATAAAGTCCCAAAAGAAATAAATAGTGCGATACTTAAATACAAATTAATAGATGAATTCCATACTTCCAACATATCAGGTCATTTAGGTGTTAGGAAGACAATTTTAAAATTAAAACAAAGATATATATGGAAAAATATGCGGCAAATGGTTAGAGAATTTATCAACAATTGCACAAAACGCGCACAGAATAAAACAATAAAACATATTAAAGAACCGCTTGTAGTGACAGATACACCAACTTCAACATTCAGTACAGTCTCAATCTACACAGTAGGCCCACTTCGTATCTCGAATGGCTACAGATACATATTAACAATGCAATGCGATTTATCAAAATTCGTTATAGCACATCCAATCGAAACTAAAGATGCAAAAACCATTGCAACTACGCTAGTTGAACAACTCATTCTTAAATATGGTTTCATACAAACATTAAAATCTGACAGTGGGACAGAATTTATTAATGAACTAATGCACAATGTATGCACATTACTAAATACAAAGCAAATATTTTCAACTCCGTATCATCATCAAACAATTGGGTCACTAGAACGAAACCACAGAAAACTAAACGAATATTTACTTACTTTTGCTGACGATTACGAATGGCACAAATGGATACCATATTACACATTCGCATACAACACAACACCTCACACAGACACTGGTTATTCACCTTATGAGCTAGTATATGGTAAATTACCATCGCTACCAAGCGACAATATAAATAAAGTAAACAAATGCTATGACATTGAAAATTATGCAAACGAATTACATATTCGGCTAGAAAATTCAATTTCAAAGGCCAGAAAATTAATAAATACAGTAAAAATAAAAAGAAAACAAGAATATGACAAAAATATAAACAAATCTAATTTCGAAATTGGAGATATGGTGTATGTAAAAAATTAAAATAAACTAAAACACCAGAGTCCATATCACGGACCATACAAAATTATAAACACAAATGGAACAAATTCCATTATTAAGATAAGAAACAATTGTAAAGAATTTCATAATAACCAATTAAAAAAATATTTACGAATATGTCTATAATATAAACAAAAATGTATTTTAAATTAATCATATGTAAAAATTATTATTTCAATACAACATACATAAATTATGAATAAGTATAAATATGTTACGAATAAGATACATTAGACAAAACAAAATATAAAATATACTAAAATGTATATATAAGATAAAAATATAGGTACAGGTATAGGTATAGGTTGGAGTGGCGGCCTTGTATCCCAAAAAGCCCACTTAAGCACAAATAAAGGCCCATTGTGGTACCACAGGAGTTACGTTATTTGTATATAGATTTTAATCAGTATACATTTAACGCCGAAGAAAGGTAACGACTCCCCTATTAGGTAAAGGAAAACCAACCTGACAGTTCTATGAACTTGGCTAGGTCCCTAACATTACAGGATGACAACTCAGTCAGGTCAGTTAGAAAAGGAGATCCAAGGATTTTTAATCTTCTTCTGGCTAGGGAAGGGCACTGACACATGAGATGGAGTACAGTCTCCTCCTCATCCTCAAAGCCACAACCTCGACAAATTCGTTAAAGAGGAGACCCAGTCTCATAGCGTGCCTTCCTATTACGCAGGGTCCCGTCAGCACAGATACCGTAGTGCTGAGCAGGTTCCGTATTAGTTGAAGTAGCTGACTGGTTCTTTTCTTGTCAAAGTTCGGCCAAGTCAACCTAAAAATCTGATATTGAGGTTCATCAGCCCAGTATTGCTTGGCTATGCTCAGATATTTTTGTATGATTGCCAGTTTAACTGTAGCAAGTGGGACGCCTATATCAGAGAGGTTGATGTTAGGGAGAAGAGCACCTGCCTTGGCTAGGACGTCTGCCCTACAATTTCCTGTGATATCCCTGTGATCAGGAACCCAAATGAGTTTGACCCTAACAAACCTAGCTAGGTCATTTAGTGAAGCACGGCAGTCTTGAGTTGTGATTGATGTGGCTGAGGTGCCAATCAGTGATCTGATGGCAGCTTGGCTATCAGAAAAAATTGAGATTGGTAAATCGGATGTTCGATTGCTTAGAACCCATTTTACAGCTTGGTGAATTGCCATTATTTCGGCTTGAAAGACGCTACAGTGGTTCGGAAGTCGAAGCGAGATGCTGAGACCCAGTCTTTCAGAGAAAATGCCACAGCCGACTCGTTTATCTATTTTGGAGCCGTCCGTGTAAATGTCAACCGTTTGGAGAGGGATCACTCTTTCAAGGATCCAGTCCTCCCTGCTAGGTATAAGAGATTCGAACCCCCTAATTAGGTCTGGGTAACAACACATGTAGTCAATAGAGACGGGAGTTGGCAGATCCTGATTCAGTATGATCGCGTGACCTATATCGGTTCTTGACCAGCAGGAGAGGGCGTTGAGCCTGGTTGCAACTATTTTGGCTTGCTGTTTTACCAGAAGCCGAGATGGCAGCCAGTGAAGCATTGCGAAAAGAGCTTGCGTGGGGGTAGAGCGAAGAGCACCAGTGATTTGTAGTGCAGCTATCCTCCTAGTTTTGTCAATTAATTTGGTGTGGCATGCTTTTTCAGTTGCCTGCCACCAGAAAGCAGCCCCATACAGAAGAATTGGTTCGATAACAGCTGAATAGAGCCAGAGTATAATGCACGGTTTGAGCCCCCAACTGCGACCTATAGCTCTTCTGCAACAGTAAGTGGCGCATACCGCTTTGCGGGCTCTCTCAGCCAAGTTGTCTTTCCAGCTGAGTTTAGAGTCCAGAATAATACCCAGATATTTGACGTTCGAACTTAGATTTAGAGTAACGCCCTTTACCTTTGGTAAGGAAAATGTCGGTATTTTATACCTCCTGGTGAAGAGAATAACCTCTGTCTTTGCGGGGTTAATATCAAGACCGAATTCCCTACACCATTTAGTTACAATGAGGAGCGCAGAGTTAATAACATTGGATAGAACTTGGGGGAATTTGCCAGATGAGGCAATAGCAATGTCGTCCGCATAAGCTATAACACTACATCCGGATTGTTCCAAAAGTTTTAGCAAAGAATTAACCGCTATGTTCCATAGAAGAGGAGAGAGAACCCACCTTGTGGCGTTCCCCGACAGACTGCTCTGGAGGATTGAACACTTCCGATGTCGGATGTGATAATCCTAGTTTTGAGAAGGGCCTCTACAAATTTAACCAGACTATTGTCGAGATTTAACTTTGAGAGGGATTTTATGATACCATTGGGGCAGACATTGTTGAAAGCGCCCTCAATATCGACAAAAGTGGCAAGTGTGAATTCCCTGAGAGAGATGGAGTGGTCAACTTGCGAGATGAGTGCATGAAGCGCAGTATCGACAGACTTGCCTTTAGTATAAGCATGCTGTGATGGAGATAAGAGCGCTGGGTTTATCTTGTTCCTGATATGCAGATCAAGGACTCTCTCCAGTACTTTCAGAAGAAAAGAAGACAGACTGATTGGTCTATAGTCCTTGGCACTGCAGTGAGTTATTTTCCCTGCTTTGGGAATGAATATTACTCAAGCCACTCTCCAACAGCTTGGGACATACATAAGCTTAATACAACTATTGTAAATGCTTAGAAGCCAGGGGAGGAATACGAATTCACCCTGTTGAATATCTGCGGGAATAATTCCGTCCGGACCTGGAGATTTATAAGGTTTAAAAGATTGGATAGCCCACTTTATTTGAGTGTTGGTCACTTGAAACGGTTTAGGATTATTTAGAGGGGGTAAACTGATTTGAGTTGATAAAACCGCATCAGAGGCTATACTCCCTGGGAAGTGCGAGTCCAGAAGGATGTCGAGAGTTTCCTTACTGGAGTTGGTCCATTGACCATTTGGAGCCTGGATACAATCGAGTGTCTTATGGGTGGAATTGAGGATTTTGCGCAGTCGGCTAGACTCAGAGGAGGATTCTATGTTGGCACATAAGTTTTTCCAAGCTGCCCTTTTGGCCCGCCTAATGGCGTATTTAAATTCTCTTTGTTTCTCTTTATATGGAACCCAGTTTCCTGTTGCTTTAGCATCATTAAAAAGTTTTCTACAGGTTTTTCGGAGGTCTGCAATGTTTAAGTTCCACCAAGGAGGTTTGGGTTTGCCCCTAAATTCGGGTTGCTTGCAGGCCGCGTTTGTGGCTCATCTAAATGCTGATGTGAGAAGGTCAACCGCTCGATCTATATCGGAACAGTTGAGAATAGTGGGAGGGTCCAACTGTAAGTTGGATTGCAGGTTGGCTCGAAAAATGGGCCATACAGTGCGTTTCCTATTTAAAGGTTTAGATGATCTGTTCATTTCAGGGTTCTCCACAAAATCTAGATCAAAATTGATGTACCTATGGTCATAAAAGGAACAATCTTGTGATACGGACCACTTAGTAATAAAGTAAGAGAAGTGATCGCTAATCAGGGTGATATCGAGAACTTCCCTTCTAATTGAATTCATGAAGGTTGGCTCCCTACCTGTGTTAGCGATCACCAAGTTTCCTGCAAGAATGAAATCAAATAGACACTCACCTCTCGCGTTAGTATCTGTGCTACCCCACATCTCATGATGTGCGTTGGCGCCAGCTCCTATGATCACCGGGATCCTACTGTTATTTGCCTCTGACACCAGAAGCTTGAGGGAGTCCTGTGGTGGAGTGGCACCGTGATCGTGTGCCATATATGCTGAGACAATCCAAAGGGCCTTGGAGTCGTAATCGATGGCCATGGCTACATTGTCATTGTCACTGAACCTAGGGAGTAGAAAGGCATTAATGTTATTTTTTACTAGAATGCAAGATCTTGGTTTACCTTGACCTTCTGTGAATACTAACCGATAACCGTTTGTATTCAGTCCGCAAACCCGATTGTTTACAATCCAAGGTTCTTGGATCAGCATTATGTCCTCTCCTTTTTCAGCTAGGCGGAGGGGAAGGGCTGCCGAAGCAGTTTTGGAGTGTTGGAGGTTAATTTGGACGACCTTCAACAGCTTGGTTGTTTTTCAACTATGGTACTGTCCAGTTCATCCTCGTCCGACATCGGTGAGGTCTCCCGGGAGAGCGCCATACCTGTAAAGAACTCGCCGACCATTTCGGAAGACGAGATTACGCTACCTCCATCTTCGGAGGAAGGAGTGCCGATTAAATCGGAAGTCCCTGCATCGGGGTTATTTAGAACGGAGATGGAACCGATTCCGTCATCAGAGATCGTTTCCGAAGGTGCTCCCCCAGAAGGTTGTTGTTGTTTAGCGGCTTGAGAGTCACTTTTGTAAACACGTAGGGTGACCGAACCGAAGCCATAGTGAATCACCCCATTTCGGGCTTGAAGGGGTGCCAAAGATTGTTCGTTAAGAACTACGACGGCTTCGACGAAGTCGCCCTTGGGGTCACTGACCTTCGCAACTTTCAAGTTATGTGTGGGGAGGTCAGTGTTACTGGCCCTTAAAACGGAAAGAATTTCCTCAGGGGAAGTAAGCTCCGAAGGAAGCCACACTTTGGAGCGGGGGCGTTGTGATATATTTTCCACCGAAACAGCTCTGAGATGTGCGCCGGGCCAGAGTTCCCCAACCTTTTCGATCGCCTGCTTATAAAGATCCGCGGAGCGCTAGTCTGAGCAGGCGATAATTTTAATATGACCCTGGTACCATCCAGCGTCTTTACAACTAGGAGATGGCCCAGGGTTGAGGGCAATAATTTCCATATATATTTTGAGGAGAGCCCGTTCAACTTTCTTCCAGTTTGCTGGAGAGATGGTGCCATCACTACTGCCAGCGTTGATGATGGCCCAGGTCAGGCTCTCCTTGACTATCTCGCTAAGAGGTTTTGATAGAGATGGGAGTCTCGGAGGACCAAATTTAGGGCGCTTAGGAGCGCTTGTCAAAATTGATTTACCGGCCTGCTCAATCGACCTTTGTCGTTTGTGAGCAGGTGTAGAGGTAGAAGCGATGTCAGAGGGCCGGAGATTGACATTTTCCCTTGCCCACTTTAGTGACGCCTTATCGCTTTCTGAGAGCGAGGAAGGATCCACGGCATTGAGCCTAGAGAGGATGCGGTATGCTGACCTTCGCGCCCTATACGCCCTTGTCGAGGGGTTAGGGTGGGAACGTGTACCAGAAGTTGAGTTGGTACTAATTGCAGATGGTGCGGTTGGCGTATTAGCTTTGACCGCAGCACTAGCAGAGGAGCAGGAGGCAGCATTACCACCTGGCACAGTTGCCAAGGTGTTTAATGACGGAGCATTACATGTACGAACCGCCTGAGCAGAAGCTCTAGACGGCTGGTTGTTAATAGGCGCTTGCCTTGTAAGGCTTGAACGCCCCCCTGAAGGGTTCGGAGTTTTAGGAGGTTTGTTAAAATTTTTATTTGATTTGTTCATTCTAAAAGGGTCCCCACTCAAAGCCGCTATCTGACACCCGTAAGTGTAGTTACTGATAAAAAGAAGTCCCATGGTTATCTATGCAAATGCATGGAGGCCATGCGAGGGTTGGCACAGGTCCTTATGGGAACAAGTGCTCAGAGCCAGACCAGAACTAATCGGGAGCTAAACTACAACCGAACCTACACGACCAACTTAATGGTGACGGATGCAGAACGTACCTTGAGGCCTGCCAGGGTTTTAACGGGACGGAGGCAGCCAGAGACTTAGCCTGGAGCCGTTCACACGCGAGTTTCACCCCGGTGCTACCGTGTCAGAAGACAGCTAGGTCCAGAAACCTGTGACCACCAGCCCAAAGCGATCAAATACAAAAAGAGGATCTAAAGAAACGTGGTCCGAGGACAAAAACGGTCGTTACCAGAGGATGCTGGAGCCCCTGAAGAGGACAGCATCCAGGGGGAATAGATCATTTGGCGTTACCCAGGGTGCACCACGAGGAGGCGATCTAAGACTACACCCCAAGATAAAAATATAAATAAAGAAAACATGTGAAGCGATTCCACGACTTCACCATAAACAAGAAAATTACTCCGTTCATTTTTCACGTAATAAGTTTTTCTCAAGGGCAAGGGTGTAGTGGACCTACCTCACTTACTTCTTAGCCACTTAACATTACTCATAAATAATAATTGGTTGCACATCATGCATACCATACAAGAAGCATAAGCAAAGCCACATAAACAAAAGAGTTTCGTATTACCAACGAAAGTATTGCCACACGCTGTTCCAATATTTGACGATTGCTGAACACATGTTACAATACTTTCAATTGTAATATTTCCTATATTGCAATAGATATGTGCAAGCAATATTGTCAATGCACTCTAATAATAACTTTAACGTTTGACCTAAATGAGCAAACAGTGTAGTCGCAATGCAATGCATTCTGCAAGGTCAGCAATCACTTTGATTGGCTGCGGTTATACTT